TAATAATAGTTGACAAACTTATTTGAGATGTTCGATGGAGCAGGATCAATTGAATGAACTTCCATTATNATTTGATAAAACATATTTTACTTTAATGTCTTATCCTGAACATGATTTTTTAATATATGCTGCTCATTAACTTATTAAGTTACCCTTAATTGCAAAATATTTTATATAAAGATTTATGCTGGGCAATTTAAAAATTGCTATGATTTTATTATTAGTTTATGTTAATTAACAACTGATTAGCAATTTTTAGTGGACTGCTTTTATATTTTGTACTATTTGTAAATATAAATTTTATTTTTTTTATTTTGTATTAATTTTTTTATTTTTACCTTTTTTTTTAATTTTTATTCCTGGGAAATCTTTTTCAATCTTTTATCTTTACTTTAAATATTTTATAAAAGCTGAACCTGAAACTTTTTAAATATCAGATCTTTATACTAGAAATTTAATGCAACCTGATATAATACCTTTCTCAACAGACAAAACTGGAACCATTAAATAAGTTTACAAACCTGTATTTTAAATGTGTGTTTTGTAATTATTTTTTAGATGGCCTGAAGTCTTATACACTTATATGTGTTGTGTTACCAAAAAGGAATTTTTTAAATATGACAAAATTTTATATTCTGATGTTAAATTTAAAACTTACAATGTTCTGTAATCCCATTTATATATGTGAACAAGTAACTTTTTTTTATTAATATATTCGATAATATGATACATAAATAGCTAAATAATGATTAGAGATGTAGTAGTACAGAAAAATTTAGAAAGGGCCTGGGTCAAAAATTTGTGCCCCAGAGCCCTGAACCTTGAAATTACGGCTCTGATACAATTGTGATCTGTGTTTCAGATTTTTTTCTTCTGCAGTTGATTTTTCATGTGATGTTTCGCTTGGCAGGGATTGCTGTTAATTTTCAGCTGATTTTTTTTTATGATAAAGGGAATTCAAATCAGGCCCTTGAGTATTTGAGGCAAAAATTCTATCATTTTTTTACAATCAATTTTTTCAGATATTGTCGTGAATCTCACAGTTTTTAAAATATTTTTCTTTTTTTTTTAATGTGATGACTTATTGTGTGAGGAAGGAAGAAATGTAATTTTTTTTCAATATATATGTATTCTTTTATGTGTTGATGAGAAAAAACATTTATAGATAAAAACATTTTTACTCTTTAAATTTTATAGATGTTACTTTTGTACTTAAAAATGACATTCTTTTATTTATCTGCTATGTACAAGAAGAAAAAATTATTTACTGAAGGAGAAAAAAAAGACTCATTGAAAAAAACAATTCAGATAATTTCTCCTTCCAACAATCACATGTATGCATACGAATAAAATACAACATAAAAATTTGTTTGTTTTTTTTTTGCACAAACTTTTTTATGTAATTTAAGAAACAATTGCAAGTAACAATTTCAATGATAAAAAACTGCTGCAACAGGTTATCAGAACGAATTTTTCTACTAGTTTTATATATGTGACTTTCATATTCTTCATTACTACTCACCATATCCAACTGTATCTTTCAGTCCAACTGCATCTTTCAGTTCACACTTTTGAGCAGATCAACTTTCTACGATTTTTGAGAAAAAAATTCTACTGGTAGTTCACATTTTAATGTGTTATTCGTTACTTTGTAATTTTGATTTTAAGTCATTTTCCATGTCACTACATGTAAATTATTCAAAAGTTTATATGAAACATCTCTTTGTTGCAGCTCTTCCATGGTAAAACTTTTACAATGTTGGCAAAATTAACACAAATTATACTAATATAAATGTCTACAAACAGGTAGTAGTTGACAGCTTTTAGAAAAATAGGATTTTGGATTTGGGGATAATTTTGCTGGAAATAAAATTCTCTTATTTTATTATCTGTGGTCAGTTGAGGAAATATGCCTTTTTTTTTTCTTTTTTTTTTCTTTTTTTTTTTTGAACTCTAACATTTTGCTGTCCAGCAATTTTTCATAGAAACTATGTCAGAGGAGTTAATTTATCACCAGTTAACAATGTGTTAGTATACTCAGGGTATCCACGCACCTGGAAAGTCATAAATTTCAGTATTGAACAAAATTTGTCATGATTTTAACTTTTTTTTTAAATCATGGAAAGTCATTAATTTGGGTCGCTGAAAAATCTAATTTTTAAAATGGAATTTACCCCTCCCCCTGATTTCATAGTGTTACGAATATCTGCATTTGTAACAAAATCCCCACTCACAGTCATATCTGATTAAAGTATAAAATGTTTTTATCGTTTTCTTTAACAATTATGGTGTTCTTTCAAAAAATTTCTAGAGCGAATTATCTTTTAAACTTATGTGATTTCAGAATTTTGTTATTATTTATTTTTTTATTTTATCAATTTAAAATTTTAGCTGAAGCAAGCCAGTCATTGGTGAATTTTTTTGTTCGGAAATGAGAACAGAAAAATCAGGAGTATTTCTTTCCTTTCCGATGAGCAAGAAAAGTATCTTTAGAATGTAATTCTGCAGGGAAAAAAAGGAAAAAATACTATCTTCTTTTGTATTTTTTTCAGCTATTTTATTGTTTCAACTTTTTTTTTACTCTGATTTTTAAATTTAAAATCTATAAATATGAAGATGCAGAGTATAACAGTTTTGGTTATACCTATCATTTCAATGAATGTTATTATGGTGCTTTTTTAAATTTATTGTTGTTTTTGTTGGAGGAAATAGTAACTTCGTTAAGTCATGAAAAATTCTTGGAATTAGTCATGGAAAGTCATGAATTTGAAAATCTATACTCCTTCAATGAAAAAATAAAGCTAATGGTTTAGGGTGATATTTTTACTTTTGGGGGGTATAAAAAATTAAAATTCTTCACCTTTTAAGTTACTTATGTATAACTTTAAAGAGGTGGTCTTAATTATCCCACTAAAACTATCTAAAAGTAAAAATTTGGGATAATTTTGATTACTTGTGGGAGAATTAAGACCATCAGTTGGTGTATATGCTAGAATTGTTGTCTCACTGTTAGATTCTCCTAAAACCATAATCAGTGCTTCTTCCTTATCACCTATTTCATGTACGGGGAGGAGCAGAGGTCATGTTCTGTCTCATATGTATTAAACACCGAGAACATTTTATCTGACAAAGTCAATTTTCTCTCTTTATGCACTGCTTCTAATTTTCCATATAAGTCTTGAACAATTTCTGAATTTATCTTAGAATGACTGAAGATACTTGACTTTCTTCAAATATATTTCTTCATAAAGCCTATTATATATATTAGTCTTTATTTGGTTTTTTATTAATTTAATATTAACAGGTGGGCTGAAAAGTTCGTAGGCAAACATAGAAGAAAAAAATTTTGGGATAAAATTTCATTTTATTATTCAATATGGCTTCCTTCAAAGGTGATACAACGATTATAGCGGTCATATAATTTTTCGATACCATTTTTATAGTGTGATTTGTCTTTAGCCTCAAAATAGGGCTTAGTTTCGGTGATTACTTCTTCATCGGCGCTAAATTTCTTTCCAGCGAGCATTCTCTTGAGGTCTGAGAACAGGAAAAAGTCGCTGGGGACCAGATCTGGAGAATACCGTGGATGCGGAAGCAATTCGAAGACCAGTTTATATAATTTTATCATCGTTTTCATTGACTTGTGACACGGTGCGTTGCCTTGATGAAACACCACTCTCTTCTTCGTCAAATGGGGCCGTTTTTCTGCGAATTCGTAATTCAAGCACTCCAATAACGCTATGTAATAGTCGATGTTGATGGTTGTTCCTTTTTCAAGATAGTCAATGAGTATTAAACCATGAGCATTCCAAAATACTGATGCCATAACTTTGCCTGCTGACTTTTGCATCCTTCCAAGCTTTGTAGTTGGTTCTTCTCGTGCAGTTCACTCGCTGACGGTCGATTGGACTCCGGTGTGAAATTATGGAGCCATGTTTCACCCATTGTCATATATCGACACATAAATTCAGATTTATTACGATTAAACAGCTTCAAACACAGCTCAGAATCATCAATTCGTTGTTGTTTTTGGTCAATTGTGAGCTCGTGCGGCACCCACTTTGCCTAGAGCTTTCTCATACCCAAATATTCATTCACGATATGTCTAACACTTTCCTTTGATATCTTTAGAGTCTCAGATATTTTGATCAACTTCACTTTACGGTAATCTAAAATTATTTTGTGGACTTTTTTGATATTTTCGTCGCTAACAGCCTCTTTGGGGAGTCCACGGTGCTCATCTTCGTCGGTGTTCATTTGGCCTCGTTTAAACGTAGCAGACCACTTCTCAATGGTTGATTTTACTGGTACAGAGTTCGAATAATGTTTCTCAAGCCAAGCCTTGGCTTCAAGAGTATTTTTTTTTCACTGGAAAGCAATGCTTTATGAACACGCGAAATTCCTTTTTATCCATTGTTTTTAAACTAACAAAAGTTGCTTCACTAAAAATACTATATCTCACAAACTGTTAGTCCGACAGCTGTCAAATATATACACGTGTCTTTCGAAGGTTAGAACTAACTAAAAATCATAACTATGAGTCAGCCTACGAACTTTTCAGCCCAACTGTTATCTAAGAACTATTATCTAATCTACTCAATATTATCTAAGAACTATTTAAAGGTCCCCTGAAAAAAAATAAAGCATAAAATTTGATAAAACATATTTTACTTTAATGTCTTATCCTGAACATGATTTTTTAATATATGCTGCTCATTAACTTATTAAGTTACCCTTAATTGCAAAATATTTTAATTATTAAAATTAAGATTGTTTCTATAATGTTTAAAAATTTCTTATTCTTTGACCTGCTATGGATGGTTAAAACCACTTTTATTTGGTAACTTGGTTGGAATAAGTTTTGATCTGTTAAAATGACAACCATGCCTGAGGCTCCCACTTTACCTAAATAAGTTCTTTAGCCTGTCATATTTCTGCCCTAAGGATATAACATTTCTTCAAATTTTATTGTATAATTAAATTTTTTTTCTTTCTTTTAGGTTAATTGGTGTGCTAGTTGCTTTGATAGAAGCACCTTTTCTATGTATGTTCTTGGATTTTGCTCAAATTCCAAGTGCTTATTTTGATAGTAAACCAACTTGGCTTAGAGGACTATTGTACATATTGTAAGATATTTACAATAAATATGACTAATTTTTAATGTGCTGGCTATGCTCTTGCTGTATGTTATATATATGTTTACATACATATGTCAAAGTGTTTTTCAGTATGTTTTCAAAAATGTACAGGAAAACAATAAGGTTTTTTATTTTAAAAAAATAGCTTGTGCAGCAAATTTATATGACAGTTTATAAAGTTCTGCTTCCTGAGTTCATGGTTATAGTTTGAAAAGTTCCTGATAGATAGTGCTGTGTTCTTCTACAGTTTTGGGTACTGATTTCATGCCAACATGCGATTATCTTTAGATTGACGTTTTAAAAATATTGCAATTTGATTTTTTTTTTAATTAACACTTTGTCAACTTGCAAAGCTGTCTTTTAAAAAAAATTTAATCAAATTTAAACTCTGGTAGAGAAAAATTACCTTGTTGCTTGAATTTGTTGAAAGAATTGTTTTTTCAATTCAAAACATTTTCCTATTATAAATTTTTCTAAGTTTAATTTAGGATAAATTATATATTTATAAAGTTTAGCATTTGGGGTTTATGTGTAATAAATTTATTTTTATTTAAATATGTAAGGTTAGGATATTTCTAGAATAATTTTTACAGAATAGGGTAGAACATTAGGTTTGATTCTGAAATGTGTTCAAGTCTGCCAACTTTTATGCTGTTTGGGAAAAATTTTTCTAATGTTAATGTTTGAATGTATGTTGATTTGTCTTATACATTAGATTTAAATTTATTTTCCACATCTCTACATAAAAAGGATTCAAAATGGCATATGAAATTCCACTTTTTTTTTAGATCTCTCATGGTAAAGCTTTTGGAATGTTCAGAAATTTACCAAAATTCTGAAAACTATAGTTTTTAAATGTCTGTCCTTCTGTAAAATATTTTGCAAAAAGCTTAGTAGTTGGAAGCACTGTGTGTAGAACAATTTTGAAGTACCAGAAAGAAAGCATTTGTCTTAAAATGAATTAGCATTTTGTCCTTATAACTTATCGGCTTGCTCTTATAAAAACTATACATTAATGCTATTAACTATTTATAACAATAATATTTACATATAAAAAATAATATACTAATAATAATATTTATTTTTAACTAGTCGTTATATTTAATTTTGTATATGAAATTAAAATTATTGTTGAGTTACTTTTTCAGTTTTATATAAATATGCTCTTAAGAATAAGAGTGGCCACTGACAACCTAAGTTTTCCAGTTTTGTACTTAAGTTTAAACATTGTATCACAAGCATTAAGTAATAAATCTGTTTTTTTTTCTTAAAGTTTAATGCTCTGTAAGAAAATAACAGGAGTGTTATTTGTTTAATGAATGAACTTATACTTTACTTTAAAATCTACATTTAATTTTTTCAATAATTTATGTTATGATGCAATAATTTTTTTGTATACAGATGTATATAAATTTTTTTTCAGCCTTGCTATTTGGCCTTTATCATTATGTGTTGGTTTATCTACCTTTTTTGGGTCAGGATTAGTATTTTTGACTGGAAGCATGTATGGCTTATTGTCCTTGAAACGAAAGTAAGTTATTGTTCTCTCTTAACAAGTGATTTTAGACACTATATAGCATCTAATCATCTTTATAAAAAATATTTTCGATCCTGTACACTATCTGGCAAATATTCTTCAACTAAGGGGAGCAAACCTGGCTGTATTTTTTCCGCAGCAAGTATACAAAGAGTTGATATAAAAGTAACTAATATTCTGTCAGAAAACAAATATAATATAATTAAAATGTGTTATTTATCATATTTACTAAAACTTCTTTTTTAACACTTTAATTTCCTAATTTTGTTAGGCATTAAATCATTACTTCAATCTCTAATTTTGGCTGAGTGGCCCAAAATGTTTTATTGAAAAGAAATTCAGGGCTATCATCAGGGACCAATCCCGAGATCCAAGGATTTTTAAAGAATTGAATGGGATTACTAGTAGGTGACATTTTGCTTGCAGGATTATAACGAATGTGCCAGTAAGCATTTGTAAAACTGACCTGTTGTAGTTCCTGATCAATTAATTTTATTTAACAATATCTTAATTTAAGTTCAGGTTTTAATATTTAAGCAAAATCTGGAAAAAAATAATAATAGTTACAATCAGTTGAAAATTGAATGAAATATGATAATATGCAAAAAATAAATGGAGATGTTAGATAAAAATATCTTTAATGTCCGCAAATGTTTTTGTAATTTTATCTTATATTCAACTTAAGGGTATATTATTTGCATATTTATTCATAATTATTGCTTTAGTTATTGAGTTGGTGTTTATTAGCTAAACTGAGCTAGTTTTATTCTAAATAAAAAGAAATGTACACAAAATACAGTCTATGTTAGATGTAATGACCTTTACCATCCAAATAAAAATGAAGGTTATATTGTTAGTGAGCAAAAGTATTGTAAATATTTAATCTCAATACATAATGCTGTACTAATTTGGATGGTAATTGATAATAACACAACGTGCCTTTAAAATGATTTAAAAAATACTGTCTTAGAGTAATTCAAATTCTTTATTTAAGATGAAAAATACATTTAAAAAATGATGCTGTGGTTATAAGCAGCCATTTTTTGCTAAATATTATGTTTTTAAAGAAATGCTAAGTCTAAATAAAAGTGACAGTAATAACGATATGAATATTACATGTTTTAACTTCAAAATAAATCATTCAAAAGGATTAAGATTGCACAAATTTACCCTTTGAAAAGAAATTTACAAAAAATTGGGAAAATCAATGGACATGGGCAATGGATACATTTTATTTTTTAAGTACAAAAATATTTATCACTTGTTCTTAAAGAAATTTCCTTATAAATAAGAAAAACTAGGTCAATTTCAAATATACATTGGATTGAGCATTTTTAGGTGTTCTGAAGGACATTTAAAATGTATTTAAGAAATAGCTTATGAGACTTGATGTATCAATCACAATAGAGTCATATAATTGAGAGTTGTAATAAAAATATATTGGTTGTAAAGTTTAAATTATAGTGAGTATATGTATTATAAGTAGTAATTGAATATCTTAAACTTCAAATGAACTAATCATATTGTCTATGACCTTTCACTGCATTGACCATTGCTAATATCTTATACTTGAAGTTCAATATCTTGGTAACTATACATATTTAGACTTAGTATCAATAAGAACATTTAATCAGAATGTTTTGAACTACATCATATTAAATTTTCAGCCAATTTGACAGAAAAATAATTTCCATAAGATTTGTGCAGGATCCTTTAAGAAAAATAACTTATTTTTGATCAAAAATGGGCTATTTTTTATTGGGAAAATGGTAGTAAAATATTAAAACAGTGAATGTATCTGCATGATAATGAAACATACCAAATAGTATGTTGAAATAATATTTGAAATAGTAGTTATTCAAACCTATGTTAACCNATTAAGCTCTCGCTAACAATAATATGTTGAAATAATATTTGAAATAGTAGTTATTCAAACCTATGTTCACCGATTTTTTTTCCACAGTATTATGATGAGCATTTAAGGAAAGAAAAAGTTTTTTAATGCAGTGTCTTTTTAAGCTTTTAATTGACTAGCTCACTGGACTAATTCTGATCACTGAATAAGATTGATTACATGCCTAGCTGTTACACATTAAATCGGTTTATTTAGATCAGTTTTTTCTTGACACTCGTTATAAAAGAAATGTGCGGTTGTAGTTCTTAGACCAAAAAAAAAACTAATGTTCGATGTGTCAGCTAACATTGCTACAATCTCTTTTCACTCTTTGTAATTACTGAATAAGCTTGGTATTATTTTGAAACTTTTCTTATTTCATGTTCTTAACTTTTTATTTCATAACGCAGGGCTCCTCTTCAAGGAGATATGAGAATGCAAGCATCCAGTTCATATAATCTTATGCAAAATCAGCAACCTGCTGGAGATGTTGAATCGGGTATGCCTCCTAAATACCCTGGAAATGAGAAGATGTCTGGAGTTATATAATGTCATAGTTAATTATCAAAATACATTCATGATTTATTAAATTTTATGAATTTCTTAATTTTCCATGATAAGCTATATTCTTAAGTCAGTGCATGTATTATTTGATTTTCTTTCCTTGTCAGTTTGTATTTATGTTGTATTTATGATCATTCTCCGTTTAACATTATTAGAATGTGAATGTAAAGAGGCAAACTAGAAAGGTTGGGTGCAAGTTATTAATCTATAATCTTGTATATATCATAATGCTGCTATGTAAGTTTAACTTTATTTAAATAACTACAATTTTTTACTTCAATTGAAATTTGCTTTTTATTAAGTTACTGATTTTTTATGATTGATTTAGTCTACTTTATTTGCTATGAAATCTATCCTTTAGGTAATAAAATAGTTTTTTTTAATATTTGCATTATTGAATGATTACTCTTGTGTGCATCTAATCTATATTTCATTTTGCTATGTCACTTTTTAAAATCTTATGGGGAAAAAATTTTATATTTATATTATTAAATAATTATTCCTGCTTGCATCTAGCCTATATTCCATTTTACTAAGTCATTTTTCTAAATGTTGTTTTATAATTATTTTTATTTATTGTATTTGCTTATGAATTGAATGTAAGGATTTCAAAAGCAGCTATAACTGTGTTACTAGCTAAATAATTACTGTGAGACTGCTCCTTGTGTTGTAAATAATATTAATGAATTTTTTAGTGCTTATTCATTTAGGTAGTTAATTTTATTATGAAGGCTTTTTCTTTAGAATCCAACATGAAATGAGAAATCAGAATGATCAAACTTTCCGTCTTACGTTGCATTAATGAATTAAACATTAAATTAGTAATTATTGAAGTTTATAGATGTGTGCCATTTGGTATACCATATTTATGTTGCCTCTGTGTGGTGATTGTCAATGTATGTCTTCCTTTAGGATATAATACTGTAAATAATGTTATGCATTTAAATTATAAATGTAACTCTTTATTTATGATGTAAGGAATAGCTTCGTATTTCCTTTCATGTTATGGCCTTCATTAATTTTAGCTCTATTTTTTATATCTATGCAAAACTTTATGTTAGCAACTTATAAAATTTGGCCTGAAATAAACCTAAATATCTTTTATTTAAAAGTAAACTATGTAACTTCATTTCAGTTACATAGAAATTGCTTGTTCTTAAAAAAAAAACTACAGATTGTGTACTAACTTTGTTTTTCTTACTTTGTTTCAATTTAAAATTTGACCTTTATATCAAATATATTTTTATTTTTATACTATTTTATCACTTTTACACTTGATATAGGATTTTTGTTTATATTTTGTAAATATCATTGAAAAAATTAATCAACACTATTAAAATAGTTGGAATTAATTAGCTTGTGAGTATTTTTTGAATAAATATGTGATGACATTTGCATATTTAATTTTTCCTAAGAATCTGTCAAACATTTTTAAAACTAATATTCATGCTATTGCATGTCTCAAGATAAACTGAATGGATACATAATAATTAAATGTTCAAATTATGTAGTTTTAAAACTTTCAGCCTTCATCTAATGAGTAGGTGTAGAAAGTATTGATTCCTAATTCTCAGTTAAAACTGTGATGCATTGATTGATTTGATTTGATTTGTTCATTTACGTCACACTAGAGCTGCACAATGGGCTATTGGCGACGGTGTGGGAAACATCCCTGAAGATGATCCGAAGACATGCCATCACAATTTTGATCCTCCGCTGAGTGGATGGCACCCCCGCTTCGGTAACCCGACGACCTGCACGCGAAGTCGAGCACTTTGCGGTAGAACAGTTTTACGAGGACCAATACCGCACACCCTCGGTCCCTACGCAGACTGATCCAAGTGATCAACCACCCGCACACTGACCGCAGCCAGTGGTGCTTGACTTCGGTGGTCTGCTAGGAACCGTACCGTGTCTTAACGAAACTGTGATGCAAAATAACACATTGAGAATATGGCTTAAAGAACACTATTCAATCCATGAAGTACTCTTATCTTTTTAATTAAAATATGCTTCTTTTTTTGTCAAGATGCAAGTAGCAAAACTATTCATAAAGAACATGCAACTATATATGATGCTCCAAAGCAGCAAAAAAAAAAAACAATGTTCAAATGAAAAATTTTTTACTTTACCATTGTACTGCATGATTTTTAGACATTGATTAGCTTATATGATATAAACAAAGTGTTTAATCAGTGAGTATGAATGATCGTTAAGCAAGTATGTATTATGACTATTCCTTAATTCTGCCATTATATATAATGACTAATATTCAATTTAGCAAAATTATGAATAATAGCTAACTTATGACTTTGCCCATACCTTCAAATGCACTCATAAAACACTGAAAGAATGTGTGCATGTTATTTTATTGAAAGGAAACTTACTTAGCTCTGTATTTTTTGATGTACTTAATTTCTTAGAGGAAATAAAAAAAAGTATTAAACAATTAACATATTTGCAAATATTTCATTAGCTTTTCTTAAATAAAATGTTCTCTGTTAAGAAAAGCTTAAAAAGTTTAAAGTTGAACCAAGTTCATAAAAATAGTTCAGAATGACAAACTAGCTTGTATCATGTTAACATGAAAGTATATTTCTTAATAATTCCCCAGGTTTTAATAAGAAAATAATGATTCAAAACCATTTTAAACATGGGTGTAAATAAAGATCTCCAGGAAAGTGTGTCTCCTTAATGTAGTGACTACATTTTGAAAGTAGTTTATAATCCTTACATTTAAAAAAAATAGTTGTAGTTTATGTGAAAAATGTAGTTTTTCCAACCACTAGCCTGAACACTTAACTTACAATTAAAAAGAATTTTAGAAAGGATATTTTCTTTGCAACATTCGGTTATCTTTTTCTTTTAATATAAATCAACCACACAAAAATGAAGGTAAAGTTGCAAATTTTTCTTGTGGTTCTACACACAAAAAAAATTCATTTTTCATGATGTTCTGATTTCCCCTGCAGATAGCAATGATTCGGAACTCCCAATAAAATGTATTCCTTTTTTAGTTCAAGCATAAAAAATATCATTTAAATTAGTAACTGTGCAATGTGATGAATAACAACACAATTATTATTAATAAAAAATATATAGAAGTTAAATTTCTGTATAAATTGTTTACATCCTGAAATGTTTGAAATTATCTGGATTCTATGCTCCCCAAATTCATTTTTCTGTAATAAAAATAATGTGGTTTTTTTTTTGTATTTTTTACTGCTGATTTCGAGCCTAAATGGTAGGTTATTTCCAACAGAGCTACTGTAAAAGATTGCTTTGAATTGCATGTTGATAGTTAAAGGAAATTCTTTAAAATTAAATATGTGTGTCCTATTGCTCAAAACTTCATTGGGAAATCAATATCTTCTCTCCTATATTTATCATATTTATTCATAAATTAACTGTGTATATTATTTATGTTTCGGCTTTTAGGGTTTCTGAAAGTACAAACTTTTGACATTACCAAAAGAATGTTCAGACTAGACTAAAGAATAAATGGAAACAAACTAATTTCTAGAAAGAGAAGTTTATTTGAATTTCAATTTTTTTATGATCCCATAGACTTCACTTTATACCTTGTGACTTCATCATAGATTATCTAAAATAGTGTTGATGTTTTATAAGTCACTACAAGGGGTATAAAGATACCAAACATAAAAAGCTGTCAAATACTTAGCCAAAATTTTTATGCATCTTAAAACATCTCATTATCTTAAATGTCCTAGTCTAATCGTGAAATTTAATTTTTAATTACCTGGCCACAGAAATATTCTACTAATTATCTCATTATATTTTTTTACTTCCCATAGTATAATAACTATTTTTTTTAAATTTTATTGTTATTTTACATTTTTCCTTAAATGAACATTCTTTGTAAGTAATTTCTAAAATTCTTTCGAGTCTAAGAACTATAGCCAGTTAGCTGATAAGATTTTAAGAACATTTTCTATGTTAAAATTACTCAGTGCAAAACGTCTGACTGATAGTATTAAATAAGTGTACCCTTTTCTCTAAGAGTGAACAAAGAAATTATTTATTTGCTTTATAGTTTCGTTTGTGAAAAGTAAATACATATTAGTTCTCAATTCAAAAAACCACAACTGTTTGCTTTGTTTTTTTTAAATAAACAAATTCGAATCACAATTTTATTTTGATGTTTATACGTATATATTGCACCGTTAATTTTAAGAAAGCTGCTCTTTTAAAAGAAGATGCTGAAGAAATTTACTTTTGTTAAAATTATTTTTAAACTTTAGCACAATTCCCAAGACATTATTATAGCATAATTTGTTATTAGGAACATACCTTATTTTGTTAAACAGCAAATACTAAAATTATTAAATTGGTAAATAATTAAATGCAATATTTATGCATTTAATTATGCAATTAATAATTAAATGCAATATGCAAATATTTAAATTGGTAAAAAGATTCCGAAGCTGTGCCAATTTTAGAAATATCATCTAATTTGAAAAGTATAATAAAAAATACGCAATTTTCGAACTGACTTTTAACATAAAAATATCAAAAAAATCCTATGCTACTTTCTAAAGAATATATGTTTACGTAATTTAAAATAAAGAACAGCTTATTTCGTTGTATTGATCATGAGAAAAACGTTAGGCCCGGTCAAAAAACAGCATTTTGAGAAAAACTAGTTTAAAGTTTTGACTTGTGTTCAATCTAGTAAATTATTAAAGACTGACCTTTATTCTGCAATTCCAGGTCCATATATCTTCTCCGTCAACAGAATGGATGAGACACAAAAAGAATGTCGCCCCTCCTAATCCAGCCGAACAGGCCTTTCTACCTGCTTAGCGACGACTCTCTATTTTCCGGTATAACTTACAAACGAAGTTAGGTACTGAGAAATCGTTTTAGACAAACATTAGGAAGGGTACAAAGATTCGAGAAATTCAATAAATTTTTTTTCGAATTTTTGAAATATTCAGGGTGAGATCCCCCCGACCCCAATCTTTGTAGCCTTCCTAATGTCTGTCAAAAACGATTTCTCGGTTCCTAACTTCGTTTGTAAGTTATACCGGAAAATAGAGAGTCGTCGCTAAGCAGGTGGAAAGGGCCGGATTAGGAGGGGCGACATACTTTTTGTGTCTCATCCATTCTGTTGACGGAGAGGATATATGGACCTGGAATTGCAGAATAAAGGCTAGTCTTTGATAATTTACTAGATTGAACACAAGTCAAAACTTTAAACGCGTTTTTCTCAAAATGCTGTTTTTTGACCTGGCCTAACGTTTTTCTCTTGATCTATACAACAAAATAAGCTGTTCTTTATTTTAAATTACGTAAAAATATATTCTTTAGAAAGTAGCATAGGATTTTTTTGATATTTTTATATTAGTATTTTAATGAAAAACTTAACTTTTTTTAAGTTGCCGCCATTTTGGTAATTTTTATAATATCAAAAAATCGCTAAGCTACTTTTTAGATAATGTCTTCATGTTTCAGAAAATCTAAACAAAATCGTTTTCCTATATTTCAGGACTTCTAAATCCATGAGGCCAGTGAGGTGCTACTTTTTGATGAACAGTCACACACAGAGCTGCCACCAACTTATTTTTTATTATTTTGCAAAAGAAATTTTTTTTAAATAGGCTTAAATTATAGCTAAATAACATTAAAAAAACAAGGAGTCTCTGCATTGTCTCTTTTACTTAAAAAAAATTCAAGAAAAACGTTAATATTTTACCATCTCAGGGTTTGGTCCCCCCTTAAAACACTTGATAAAAAAATACGCTGCGAGAAGGGTAACATACTTTTTATAGAAACTGTGAATAACAATTTTTCATAAGAGGATAAGAAACCTACTCAGTAATTTCGCTATTTGCAGAATTGAATTCTGTTTGGATGAAACATATTATTCCTCGAAAGCTAAAACTAGAAAAAATGCAACTATTATTATTTTTCTAAGCTTATTTAATGATAGCGGTATCAAGGTTATGGATATGCGATGGAAGCACCGTTTACTATCATACTATAAATGCATTAAATCATATAGCTGGAATAATTTATTTTATGAAAATTATTTAATAATTTTAAGCAAATAAGGATGTACAAATAAACTCGATTGAAGTACGCCTAAAATAAAAATAGAATGAATTTTGGTATCGATAAATAAAACTGTAGTATATATATATATATATATACATATATATATAGCTGTTTTTGTAGCTATTTCATTTTGATTCCAGCTGCTAGGGGACATTCCATTTTCATGTTCGACTTTTGAAATTTCAATTGTAAATGGAATTTTCTTATGTCCTTAAAGAATGTTATTAAGGCTAGAAGTAAAAAAAGGTTGTACTTCATTCATTTTTTTTTCAGAAAGTATTGACTAATTATTTTTTCAATCTAAGAACCTA